AACAGAACTTGACAGTGTTGTAGGTGTTCTGACACTTTGAGGTAGTTGTGAGAACAGAAAAGAAGCAGAAATTAGAGCTCTGCTGGTTTCTCTCTAAGTCAGCCCCTGACTCAGTGAGGCAGAACATGGTGCTCCATTGACCACAGATGGTGGGATCAGATAGACTTGGATTTAGATCCTAGATGCACAACAAAACCATGGTCTTCAAATTTGTTACTGAATTAACCCTTTAATGCAGCAGCGTCTTTTGTCAAAGTGTAATTTCAAACCTCCTATCACATTCTGTTGTAACTACAATCACATTTACATTAAAATCAGAGTAGCTAATTCATTGTGTTGATCTTTAATGTACTGCTGAGCTATTTTTACTCTAAAATACCTTAACTTCTACCTGGCAAGTTTCTTTTTAAGCATTTATCACATTTGATTTTATTCTAACTTCATGAAGTTATAATTTAATATTTTCATGTTTTTTAAAAAAAATACAGGGACTAAATTTTTATATATTAAAAAAAATATTTTTATTAATTCTTTTAAGAATTTCATACATGCATATAATATATTTTGGTCATATTCACACACCCTCATTTCTCTCCCTAAATCTTCCTGGATCCACCCCAGTTCTCTACTCCCTCTCCCAACTTCATGTCATTTTATTTCATAACCTACAGAGTCCAATTTGTGCTGCCCATATGTGCATGGGTTTGGGGCCATCCACTGAAAAATGGTCAGCTTACCAGGGTCACATCCTTGAAGAAAAACTATCTCTCCCTCCCCTATCAGACATCAAGGGTCAATAGCTCCTTAGCTTGGGTTGGAGGTTGGTGAACTCCTCTCCCATCTCTGCTGGTGTATTAGTCACTTTTCTGTTGCTGTGATAGAAACACAGACCTAAGCAATTTATAGAAAGAAGAGTTTATTTGAGCTTACGGTTCCAGGGGAATGACAGTCCATCATGGCAGGGAGGCATGGTGGCTGGAGGTGGCTGGACCAGGAGCAGAAAAAGCTCTCACATCATCATGTAGGCATAGGAAACAAGAGAGAGACCTCATAAAGCTTAAGAAGTCCCTAAACCAGTGATGTGCTTCCTCCAGGATAGCCATATCTTCTAAAACCTCCCAAAACAGAGCCATCATCTGGGGACAAATACTTGAAGCCTATGGGGGACATTTTCATTCAAACCATCACACTACCCCCTGGACTCCATAGGCTCATGACTTATAAAATGAAAATTTTATTTAGTCCATCTTCAAAAGACCCCCATGGCCTTTACCAGTTCCAATACTGTACAGAATTCTGTCTTTTCTGAGTCTCAAGGCAGTCTCTTTACTGTAAGCCTCTATAAAATCACAAGACAAATTACATACTCCCAACATACAGTGGAACCGAATACACATTGTCATTCCAAAAGGGAGGAATGGAGGCATAGAAAGGAAATACTGAAACAAAACAAGACAGAAAACCAGCAGGGCAAACACCAAATCCAGTAGCTCCATGTCTGACTTCTGGGACTTTACTTCCAAAGGGCTTAAATGGCTCAGCCTCTCTACATTTGCTGTGTGCAACACACATCTCTCTCTTGTGCTGGTACCACTCCCTGTATGCAGGTCTTCTTGGCAGATGACTCACTGCTCAGCATCATGATCGTCTTTTTGGGATCTCCATTGCCAACCAGACTTCACCTTCACAGCGTCACGCAATGGCCTATCAGGGCCTTCTCTAGGCAGGGGAACCCCTGCTGCATGCTGCTTGGCCTCTGAGGCTCTCTGAAACCATGGAGGAAGAATCAATGACCCCTTCATTCTTGCATCTTTCATGCCTCTAAAGCCAGCACCAGGTGAGCAACACTGCCAAGTTTGACTGCAGTTTGGGATGGACTCCAGCCTGCTTTATCCATTTTAGAAGTTTTTCTCTTATGGCCCCTGCAGCATTTTCCTTTCACAAGTCGGAGGCTTAACTGGGTGTGGTCTTGCCCTGGAGGCATTTTCTGTAATTAGTACCAGAGAGTTGGCTGTTTACTGTGTAGAACTTGATCATGTGGAGTTTTGAAGAAATGTGGAAGACTTTGGAAATTTGGACTAGAAAAGTGGTTGATTGCTGTAAGAGCTTAACAGGCCATTCTAGTAAATGCTTAGAAGAAAGAAGTGTTGAGAACAATGCAGTTCCAGGGGGAAA